TATATAGATAACCCCTTAATTTAGTGAAAAACATATAAATAAGTGAAAAGGTTATTACTCATATACCCTTCTTGAATCCTCTCTCTTAAGCATCCTTAGAATATTAAAGTTAGTACTCTATTTTATTTTGTAACAGTTTGGACATAATGCAAATTAGAGTTGTTTTTTTGAATTTTTATGAGCAGTTTGAAGTGAAAATTGTGGAAATAACTTTCAAAAAATTTCCGAATTCCAAAAAAATTTGGAATTCAACGTCAAATTGAATTCCGAAAACTTAAAACAATTCTATGTCCAAACAAGTTCCTGGAATAAAACTCCGAAAAAGTGAAAACTATCAATGACCAAACGGATATTGATTTCTTAAGCTCCATATCCAGCAGGATAAATTATTTTCCTGTGAACATCTTCATATGCAAATGACAAATGCTTTTCCAGATTTACTCCCTGCCAATATTGTTGCAAGTTGAAAAAAGCAATTGAAGATGCCGGCATTTCTATCAAAGTAATAGAGAGCTGTCATCAAGTCCAGGAACCTGGGCATAATATCAGTATTTTTATACACAACAGAACTGTTTGATTAACGTATACAATAAATTTCAACACTTGCAGCGTATATACTCTCTCAATCTTGGACAAATCAAAGCCACTACTATATTGTAGATACAAAAATTGACCAGACCTTTACACTAAAACTTGTAAACAAGAAATACAATATATAGCTACCTTTACATGAAAAATGAATAGCAACGCGCTTGCACGCAATCTCATGATTGAATATACTTACCATACTATGACTTGGAGACAACACTATCAAATATCAATTGGCTACATGCTACAGACAGACAGAAAGAGAGAGAGAGAGGAGGGAAAGAGTATTTTACAAGGGGTGAGAAAAGCATGGAAAATTCTGTGAAGAGACTTCCAATCTATTTCACCATCAGCTTGACTCGCTGAGAATGTGGTCGAGATTCTTCTGAATCCATGGCACTAGGAATGTGTCCAACAACTTATCATGGTGCTAGATTTTTCATGAATCACTCCAAGAATCCTCGTCATCCTCTTCATCACTTCCAGCAAAGGCCTGTAATAACATGGAAAACCTTAGCACCAATGATATGCAGATGCTCATTTGATTTGCATTTATGCCCTTGTTTGTGTGCGCGTGCACACACACATATCTAGAGAAAGAGAGAGACCGACCTGGCGAATTGTTTTTGCTTTCTCCAAAATTGCAGCAACTCTGAGATTAGTCTGAGGACCCTGAATACTAGGCCTTGTTGCAACCGTTGGTTTCAGATTGAATGACTGGAAAACAAAGAAGGTGTTTTCAGCTCAGAGAAATACTTCACAACTAAGAATGCTATTTGAAATATGAGAATAGAAGAACTTGTATTTCACTATGTTAAGAAGTACATGTATATATACAATCACTAGAGGTTCTATCAAAGGTAAGTAAATATCCTACACATCTTTCTATGATTTAGCTAGCTATATAAGGTAAGAGAATATCTTTACAATATTCTGTAACACTCCCCCTCAAGCTGGAGCATAGATATTGATCATGCCCAGTTTGTTGCATAGATAATTAACTCGAGCTCCATTTAGTGCCTTTGTGAACAAATCAGCTAGTTGCTCTCCGGTCTTCACATAGCCGGTGGAAATCAAGTTTTCCTGAATCTTCTCACGTATGAAATGACAGTCAACCTCAATATGTTTAGTTCTTTCATGATACACCGGATTCGAGGCAATATGAAGAGCAGCTTGATTATCACACCAAAGTTTTGCTGGTGTACGATGTTTCAATCCAATTTCAGTTAAAAGATTGTGTATCCACATAATCTCACATGTAGACTGTGACATAGCTCTGTACTCAGATTCAGCACTAGATCGAGATACAACATTTTGCTTCTTACTCCTCCATGATATTAAGTTTCCTCCAACGAATACACAATAGCCCGTAGTAGACCTTCTATCAATTTTGGATCCAGCCCAATCAGCATCGGCAAAACACTCAACACGAGTATGTCCATGATTATTATACAATAAGCCGAGTCCAGGAGCTCCTTTCAAGTAACATAAAATTTGTTCCAAAGCTGCCCAATGTTTGACCGTAGGCGCGGACATGAATTGGCTAACAATACTTACAGCAAATGCAATATCTGGACGAGTCACAATGAGGTAGTTTAACTTCCCAACTATCCTCCTGTATCTCTCTGGATCATCAAAAGGATCACCATCATCTTTCATAAGATGCACATTGGGAATCATTGGGGTATTGCAGGGTTTTGCTGCCAACTTTCCAGTCTCTGCAAGTAGGTCAAGAATATACTTTCTCTGAGATAGAAGAATTCCGTTCATGCTTCGATTTACTTCTACTCCTAGAAAGTATTTTAACTGTCCCAAGTCCTTCGTATGAAATCTCATATGCAGGAAAGACTTGAGGGATGAGATCCGTGCATAATCACTTCCTGTAATGACAATGTCATCTACATATACAACAAGGAGGACAATGCCAGCGGTTGATTGTTGATAGAAGACTGAGTGATCACATTTGCTCATTTTCAAACCAAACTCTTGAACCACCTCACTAAACTTTCCAAACCAAGCCCGGGGGCTCTGTTTCAAGCCATACAAAGACTTATTCAAATGACAGACTTTCCCATACTCCCCCTGAGCAACAAAACCAGGTGGTTGCTCCATATACACTTCCTCTTGAAGATCGCCATGAAGGAATGCATTCTTGATATCCAATTGATGTAAAGGCCAATTCTCG